CGAGGATGGGGGGGGGGGGGAGCAAAGGGAAGAAAGAGGTATGAACACCTACCTACAGCACTAACTTCTGGAAACCTCACTCATTTTAGGACCAACCAGTTCCCCCAAACAGGGGCAGGGATCATGATTAGCATTTGTGGAAGAGAAAGCCAATGGAGGTGCTCTGCAGTGTTGAGCTCAACTTCTGTTTTGCCTGCAGAAGGTCCAAGGTTCAGTCCCCTGCACTTCCAGTTGTATAGGACCAGGCAGTCAAGCAGGTGATGGATCTTCCCCTAAGACTAAGGTTGCCAGGTCTGGCTCAGGAAATATCGGGATTTTGGGGGTGGAGCCAGGAGCCAGGATGTGACATCACTTTTGAAGCAGGCAGGGGACTTTCCAGGAGCCTCCAGGACAGGAGAGGTGAGGGAAGAAGCAGGATTGAACTCCAAAGGGAGTTCTGGCCCTCACATTTAAAGGGACCATGTTCCTTTTAAGTGCCTTCCCTCCATTGGAAATAATGGAAGATGGGGGCACCTTTTTGGGGGGCTCATAGAACTGGTCCCTCTGGTCCAATCTTTTTGAACCTTGGGGCACTTTTTGAGGAGAGGCACCAGACAGTGTGCTGAAAATATGGTGCCTCTACCTCAAAAGACAGCCCCTCCAGATCCCCAGATACTCATCGTTTGATTCTCCATTATACCCTCTGGGGACTGGTCTCCATAGGGTATAATGGAGTCCCCAGCAGACATCCCCCTCCCCACTTTCTGATAATCCTGAAGTAGGGGGAGGGTCTCCAAATTAGGGGATCCCCGGCCCCCAACTGGGGATTCTCAACCCTAAAACTGGTGCAGCAGATACCTTAAGGGAATGGGCCATAGTGTTAAGGCCTTCCGTGGACTTAAAAGGCTGTACATCTGCTAGTGTTGCCAGCTCCAGGATGGGAAGCTCCTGGAGATTTGGGGGTGAAGCCTGGGGAGGAAAGGGATCTCAGTGGGGTACCAAGCCACTGTGTGTAAAGGCTTACACATGTGGGATAAGGCAGGGTATAAATTGAATAAATAAATAAATAATATAAATAAAAATTGTCAAACTGAACTGTACAATAATCATCAATAAAGTCTAATAGATTAAATATATGTTATTTATTACAACCAAGGAAAGGGAGGAGGAGGAGGAGATTGGATTTATACCCCACCCTTCACTTGGAGTCTCAGAGCGGCTTACAAACTCCTTTCCCTTCCCCTCCCCACAACAGACACCCTGTGAGGTAGGCGGTCTGAGAGAGCTCTTTCCACAGCTGTCCTTGGGATAACAGCTCTGACAGAACTATGGCTTGCCCAAGGTCATCCAGCAGCTGCAAGTGGAGGAGTGGGGAATCAAACCTAGTTCTCCCAGATTAGAGTCCACACACTTAACCACTACACCAAACTGGCTCTCTCCATGCTATCCACAATGCTATCCGCAATATGTGAATCAAAACCAACTATTTCATGAAACAATCTTATGAACTCTATTATCCAAAATTCAAAGCTTCACGATATTTCAGCTCATCAGTACTCACATACAAATTGTAATTAATATATCAATGTATAGCAGCCAACAATTGGTGTAGAAAATTATATAAACGTTTGTGCTGGCCGTGTAAGGCTTCCAAAATATAATACAAATCAACAGTATTGTAACTCGATCTCGGCTACAAGAAAAGGCACCCGATGTTCCTCGTTTCAGCTGAAGCCTTCATCACAAGCCACAAAGTTTTTCGGTTGTCCAAAAGCTCCAAAATGGCACACAACTTTGCAAAAAAGCTCATCCAGTTTTCACAGCACGCACAGCGCCATTAATAATACTTCTATAGGACACATTCCTTCAATATTCAAACCTCTGGCATTCCAATTACCTATGTACTAGTTGGAAGTACCATTTCATTCAGTGGAGCTGACTCCCAGGAAAATTGCTCACCGGGGGGGTGGGGGAATCCCCCATAATAAAATTGATAGCAACTAAATGTTTATTGAAATGATCAAGAAAATCAGCACTGAATCAGCAGTAAAATGGATATATGAACTTCATCCAAGGGGGTGTGTGTGTGTATGTGTGTGTGTTAATACAAAGCTCTCTGCCCACAAGCCTCTGATGGTCTGGCAGACTTCCTTAAGATAAGAATACTAAAACAAAGGTATCATTAGTTATTACCCAGAAAAGCTTACTCCTTTTGTAGTTACTAGCAACTTCAGAGAGCCATGATCACTGGTCCATTAATTACAGGAGTAATAATTTTTTTCACCATATAATCCTCTTTTTTTTGCCTGATAAAGCTCCCTTAATGTTGCTTGACAACAGGCAGAAGTTCAACAGATACAGTCCCCCATACCTTTCACCAGTAAAGAAAAACTGCATTACAGTGCAGCTCTAAATAAGGGTATCTATCCTTCTAAGCCCATTGACTTCAGGAGACCTGTTATTGTTGTTCAGTCACACAGTTGAGTCCGACTCTTCACAACCCCATGGACTCCATCATTCCAGGCCCTCCTGTTCTCCGGAGTTCACTCAACTTCATGTTCGTTGCCTCGATAACACTGTCCAACCATCACATCCTTTGCTGTCCCCTTCTTCTTTTACCCTCAATCTTTCCCAGCATCAGGGTCTTCTCCAGTGTCAGGAGACTATAGAAGGGTGTAACTCTGTTTACTTCATTTGTGCCCCACCTCTCTCCCCAATGGGGACCCAAGATGGCTTACAAACTTCTCTATTTTATCCTCACATCAACACCCCTGTGAGGTAGGCTAGGCTAAAAGGGTATGACTGGCCCAAGGTCACCCAGCAAGCTTCCATGGCAGAGTGGGGATTCGAATGCTACACCACACTGTTTAGGACTGCACTGTTAATTTATCCCTGTTGTGCTCAGGAGCCTGCCAGTATAAAGGAGGCCACCCCAAGCAGCGTCTTGAAATTGCTTCACCAACATAAGGTCTGAGAGCATTTGCAACAGTGACCATGTGATTTCGAGTCTCCAATGAGGATGATGTTAGAAGAGGAGGCAAAGATGCGTGCTCACGAAAGTTGCTATCCGGGCAGCTTTAAATGAGGTATTCCTTGCTTGTTTCTGGTTTTTCTTCCTCTCCCCCTCAGTAAACAGACTGTTTGAAGAAGAAGAAAAGACAACCTATCTTGTGGGAAAGGATTAGCAAACAACAAAGAAAACTACATTTGGGTGCAAGTCAGCTGCATGAGTAAGTGCTTGCAGGGTGGACAAGGGGTCTGTTCACGCAGCTGCTCTTATGGAGCAGTTACAGACACTCTGGCCCGGCATGCAGCACAAACACAAGCCACCGTTTTTAACTGGAAGGAGGAAATGGTTAGGGGGTTATCATGAGCAGATGATAAAGGGTGTTTTTCCTTTAATTGCTAGCTTTTCAATGGTTGTACAGTGGTTATAAATTTTGTGGAGCTGGTTTTATTTCTCCCCCCAGTTAGAATGGGTTCTGTTAGAAAGGGCTTGCGATTTGGCTGAGTGCCTTCACATCTGCAAGCATTTTAGGGGCTTTTCTTTCTTTTTTACCCTAGAGTATGGCATTGTAGCATACAAGGAACCACTATGTGGAATCTCTCTCTGTGTAGTTTATGTATGTACTATGGGAAACAGCTCTGTTATCTGTTGACTGACTAAACTTTTGTGTGAGTGGGGGGGAACAGCTGTAGGGAGAATAATTGTTCCTAATGAATATGAAACTGGTGCAGCCACATCTGGTTCATGGTGACTCAGAAGTAATTTCTGCAAAATTCAATGGAACTGAATGCCAAGTAAAGCTGCAAATTGAACTGGGTGCCGTTCTCCTTGTATCCAGGCTGTGTGTCTTTCTATTGGTTGATGTGATGTCCATTTCTTTCCTTCTAATACTAATTTCTCTCACCCCAGGCTAACTGTTTAAATAGATCTCTGTGTATGCCACACGAATGCTGAAAGTTAGCTCTTGATAACTAATGCAAGTAATTTGCATGTTCAAGGTAGCTGTTAATGTCTCAGTTTGATTTTGGGTAACAGTTGGGATAGCTGGAAAAACATATTGGGTTGGAGGGGGGTACATTTTTTAGGGAAACTGGCTGTAACATCCAAGGCTGTAGCTAGGGATACTGGGGTTACCAGCTCTGGGTTGGGAAATAGCTGGAGATTTTGGGGGTGGAGGCTGGGGGGGCAGGGCTTGGTTTGGGAGCCGCAAAACATGAAAAAATATGACACACACCTTTTTGTTTTAAAATATGCAAATTTGCTTTTTATTAACATTAAATGAGGCTGCCAAAAATAAAACCAAAAGGGGCAAAAACAGATGTTCATAATGATATTTATTTGTCCAACGATGTTTATTTGTTTGCTAATGATATTTATTTGTCTAAGAGAGAGAGAAAAAGAGAGGGGTGGAAAGAATGAAGGAGGTGGAAAGAAAGAGAAACGAAGAAAGCAAATGGGAGGGAGGGAGAGAGAGAGAAAAAGTATGCCTCCCCTTTGCTTCCCCAGCTGCCCTGCCAGGAGCCACACAATATGTGTGAAAGAGCCACATGTGGCTCCTGAGCCGCAGTGTGGCCACCCCTGGTCTAGTGCCACAGAATCCATCTTCCAAAGTAGCCATTTTCCCCCAGAGGAACCCATCTTGGTAGTCTGGAGGTCATCTGTAATAGTGAGAGATCCCATGTGCCACCTGGCGGTTGGCAACCGTAGCAATATCGGAGCACTTTTGCCTCACATAATATCTGTGGCAGAGAGAGAGAGAGAGACACGCCCTGGCTTTTATTCTGCAGCATGGCAGCTACCCTGTCACAAACTAAAGAAAAGGAGCTTCTTTTTCGAATAGGAGAGATCCTGGTTTGAAACAGCTCTTTTTCTTTCGCCACCATCCTGCTACCATGACTGAGTATTGTAGGGTTGCCAACTCTGACTGGGAAAGGTCCTGGAGATTCCGGGGGGATGCCTGGGGAAGGGAAGGAGCTCAGCAGAGATGTGATGCCAGAGAGGCCCCCCCTCCCCCTTTAAACCTGCCGCTTTTTCCAGGGGAACTGATCTCTGCAGATCAGCTGTGATTTCAGACGAACCAGGTCTCAGCTGGAGGCTGGCCATCCTAGCAAGAGGCAAGGAGTTATTTCAGGCAGAGATGGCCCACTTCTTCACCCTGGGTCAGACCCTGCTTGGCCATGACCTCATCACTTTCCATCTGAACTGGCCAGGGGGGTCTGTCGGTCCTTAGCTATGCTACAAACGTGGACCCCGACTCTTAGACTCTGGTTATGCCCAAGGTCATAATGATGATAGATGAGTTTGTTGCAAAAGGTGGCTTCTAAGGTGTGTTATCTTTTTGTCTCTTTTCTGCAGCAATGGATGACTGGGAGAGCAGCGGCGATACGTTTATCCAGAGGTTGGATTTCTCCAGCTGTGGAGAAGACGATGAGTTGGAAGAAGGCAATAGCATGCGAGAGGAAGAGCTGAGAAATGTAACCCCTCAGAAGGACTGGGGCTCTCAGAGCTGGAGAACGAACTGTCCTGTCCCAGTTACCCCTCAGAGACCGCTCAATGATTTCTCCCTGGCTCGCCCGAAGCCCTGGTTGAGTCCCTTAAGGAAATGCAAGAGATCTCTGAGAAAGAACGCTGTTGTTTCAGAAGACTGTCCTGGAACTCCGTTGCACTATGTCACTTGGCAAAAGCTGCAGCTCTGTGATACACCACATACCCCAAAGGTAAGGTAATAACCATTATGCATGCATGAAATTAGATATTGCACATTGCTTTGGCATAAGACTCTGCAAAATTGAGCTGCAACTTCTAATGTGCAACTTCTCTCACTTCTATGGTCAATCTTCATTGCTGCGTCTGACTCGAGCTGTGGTCCTCATATTTCCGAGACCTCTGTGGCAGAGACTGTTGTTGTTTGCTCAGGAAAGCCTCTCTTTTGGCTAGATCTATGCAGTGATTTTGCAAAACTGCGCAAATGGATATTGAGACCAGGGCAGTGCCCAGAGTGTTTCTGTGTAAACCTTTTTCTCAGACTGACTTTGCTGTAGCTAGAAAGGTGCTGAATCAGGGACATCTGAAAGAAACCTAGCCATTTTCTCTCTAGTTCTGTTTCCACTGCTACAATGTATTTGTTTACTTCATTTATACCTCACGTTTCTCCCCTGGAGAGACCCAAAGCTGCTTACATCATCTCCTCTCCTCTGTTTTATCCTCACAACAACCCTGTGAGGTAGGTTAGGCTGAGAGAGTGTGACTGGCCCAAGGTCACCCAGCTAGCTTCCATGGCACTGTAGGGATTTGAATCTGGTCTTTCATATTCTATGATGCTATACTACAATGGCTCTCAATGCTGTAGCTTCAAAAACTGAGCACTGACTGGCATTCTAGTCCTTGGTCATCTCCGGTGGTTGCAGCACTACAGCAGTGGCACAGTACCTGTCTTGAAGTGCATAGCCCAAGCAGTAAGGACTCTGCTAGGGATGTAGTACTATGACACCTTCCAACAAGCTAACGGAGTTGGACACTCCTTACCAAATATTATGCAAACTCATGGAGAGTTGTTTTATCCGTTGCTATTTTCTGTAAAAGCTAAAGGAACTCTCAGAGGAGTTTTACTGCTGTCCAACACTGGAGAATGACAAGGAGGAGGTAACTGTTCCCTTGCTTTTGATCTGCCAAAGGCATATCTATGGGGAGCTCACTGCTGAAGGCAGCAGACTTCAGTCTGATCCAGAAAGATGATCCTTATGTTCCTAATAAAGTCATGCCCATGCACCAAAATGGGAAGGGAGTGCTGAACGCAGCCCACAGTCCTAATCCTGAACCATCCTGAGCTACTGAAGTTGGGGAAGCTCTTCAGCCCTCCTCAAAGGTGTCGTGACTATGATTTTATATCCCTGCTCAAGGGATGATCCTCAGCTAGGCACCAGTCGTGACTTTTCTAGCATTGCTGAATGGACCTCCATTTGACTCTGAGGGAGCAAGAGGATTTGCTTAACTTTACTGAATGTACAGGCGGATATATTTTTATCCTCAAAAAAAAAAGGACTCAATATTGTAGGAGCAGCTTTACTTCAAAGAAGCTTCTGTCACTTCCCAGCCCTGTGCTTGGATGAGGAATCTCTGCAGGCTATAAAGGCACCATCTTGAGTGATTCTCTAATAGCGATTTGTTCTCTTAAAATTTGGAATAGAGCAATTTAGAAATTCCCTTCATCTTTCTGCTTGTGGAGACGGGTGTCTGAGGACTATGTTAGCATGTATCGCTCCGTTATTTTCCTCTGCTGCCAAAAATATCATACAGTGGTGGCAACATTACGAAAAAGAGACTTCTTATGCTTTAAATTAAAACCACAAGAACGGCCCTTCTTTATTGGACCAGTACTCCATGTAGTCTAGCATAGTGGTGAGCGTGATGCCCCAGTAAAGTTTACTGAGGGCATGGAGATCAAAGGTCTCCCCCAGTTACTGTTCCTCAGTACGAATATTCAGAGGCTTACTGCTTCTGAAAAACAAGCAACAAACAATACAGCACACAGTCTAATATAGCCAGGAACAGCAAAACAAAACAACTGTGAGCTGAAATACCTGCAAGTATAAATGTACAAAAAGAGACTTCAATAAAGTGAAAAGAAGCATATAATTAGCAATATCAGTGACAAATATTACATATGGGAATGAAAAATCCACACAATCCATGAAGGGAAACAGTCAAGTCCAGAGAAGATATCCAACACTTTTCCTAGGTAGTTTATAGTGTTTCAGACTCCTGGTCCTTCCTCAGGAATAAAGAACTATAGAAGTACAAAATTGTAAAAGTATAAAATACAACAATGCTTTATAACAATATAGCTTCTAAACAATGATGCTTAATAACAATATATAATCACTGTTACACAGAGTCTCATGTATCTTACCAACATAAGAAGTCTCATACCAGTTTCTTAACAGGATGATGTTATTCAACTTCTCTGTAAAAGAGAGTAACTCCTTAGAATAAAGAATATAAATACACAGCATAATATACTGCTTCTGAATACAGAAACGCCATTTAATCACTATGGCCAGTGGCAATGAATTCCACAGGTTAATTGATTAATTGAGTGGAAAATGTTCTTCCTCTTGTCTATGCTGAACCTTCTGTCCATCAATTTCATTGGGCGCCCTGCCCCAATGTTCTAGGAGTATGGGAGAGAAAAGTTTTATCTCTACTTCCAATCGGTTTTGCTGACACAGATTCTTAATGTGGTGACTGACTGCTACTATCCACCTAGCAATATGCACAGCGCCCAAGAAAGTTGCAACCTGACTCTGTTATGCCTAATTTCAGAAGGAGGTGGAGGTAGCCATAAACTGGGAATATTATATGTTTGTTCCAGCAGCATATGTGTAGCTGTTGTTTACAGCAGAGGAAGAGAACTCTAATTAGGGTTGCCGACCTCCCAGTGAGGCCTGGAGTTCTCCTGGAATCACAACTGATCTCCTGCCTACAGAGACCAGTTTCCCTTGAGAAAATGGCTACTCCCAGGCCCCGCCCCAAATCTCTAGGAGTCTCCCGACCCAGAGTTGGTAACCCTAACTCAACGTTGCGGCTACAATCAGATCTAGTCACTAGGTGACAACATCCTATGCTTTCTCAGTCCACTTCTTGTGCTGGATGCATCTTGCCTGAGTGGTTAAAAGGGAGGATCCCTGCAGTCTGAGGAGGAGGTCGCCACTCCTAGGTCTTTTATTGGGACCCGGTACTTCTAAACATCTATGACAAAGGTGGCCCTGTATGGAGAACGAGCCCTACCGTTGCCGGAGGCCGGGGTACCGCTGAATTGGGGTTTTAGAACTACGTCTGACAATACGCCATCTTAATTTACTGAAGGGACGATCGCTACCCCGAGCACTTTAAAGTATGAATTGTCTATTGTTTGGTTGTTTTAATGTGTTTTTAAGTGCTTTATTGTGATTTGGCACATGGTGCCGATAAATGTAAGCCTCCCTGAGCCCATCCGCGGGGAGGGTGCGATATAAATATAATAAATAAATAAATAAACAAGCATTGATGCTTACATCTCCTGTCTTCTTCCCCCAAGAAGGGGGAGCAATCAGAAAGGAATAAAATACAAACTTGGCCTTCCAGCTTCTCTTTCTTTGTTCTCTCCAGCTTCTCTTTCTTTGTTCTCTCCCCCTCTTCTTATGGAGATCAACAGACTTCTCTGGGGGCGGGAGTATTGTTTCTCTAATGCCATTCATCCATGTCCAAAAGCCTGCATGTCTTGAATTTCTGCAGGTCCTTCCCTTGCTCAGGCAGATGCACTGAGGGGAGGGAGATCAGTTGTGGTTCTGCAGCAGGCTGCCCTATCCACACAACCCAGTATGCAAAGTTGTTGCAGGGATGTTGCAAGACAGATAACATGGCAAAAGTAGCTCTCTTACTGTCCTCAGGTTGAACATGGCTTAGATAGCAGAGGAGAAGGGAAGCAATGGGGTATTAACTACCATAATTATTCAACTGCAAGCCTAGGGGTTTTTTTCCCCCAGTTATGCCATCAAAAAAGGGAGTCATCTTATGTTCATGTGCATTAATGATTTGGAGATGGGAGTAAGCAGTGAAGTGGCTAAGTTTGCGGATGATACAAAGTTGTTCAGGGTGGTGAAAACCAGTGAGGATTGTGAGGCACTCCAAGGGGATCTGTCAAGGATGGGCGAGTGGGCGTCAACATGGCAAATGGGGTTCAATGTGGCCAAGTGCAAGGTGATGCACATTGGAGCCAAAAATCCTAAATATAAATACACATTGATGGGGTCTGAACTGGCAGAGACTGAGCAAGAGAGAGATCTTGGAGTTGTAGTAGATAACTCACTGAAAATGTCGAGACAGTGTGTGACTGCAATAAAAAAAGCCAATGTTATGCTGGGGATTATTAGGAAGGGTATTGAAAACAGATCAGCCAATATAATAATGCCCCTTTATGTTCTTATGTTCTTATGTTAAGCTACTTATATCCTGCAACTTTTGTGTGTGTGAATACATTTGGGGTGGGCATCTTATCTTCAGGGTCACCTTCTTTTTGAGTTAATACTGTATTCCAGCTGTAATGTATTGAAACGATTACATGAATCACCTCATAGGACTCCTATGTTAAGCTTCGAGCCAGACCAGGGCTCCTCTGAGCGAACTTCCTATTGGTCGCTTCGTAACAGCGACCAATCAGAACGATACCATTCCCTAGGAGGGAAAGACTCCCATTGGTCCTTAACTAAGCAATCTCATTGGTTGTTAATTGTAAATAGGCGTGGCTACATTAGCCCGGTTATGTTTAAAAGGAGCATAAGCTCCCACTGTTTTCTGTTCTGGTTTCTTATTGAGTTGAGTGCTTGTTCGTTACTTCCAATAAAGCTGAATCACTTGCTGAATCACTCTAAGAGTCCTTTGTTAGCGCGATCTAACACCAGCTATCTGATTGTGGAAGATGTACACACCTCCTAGAGTAGAGGGCTGGATAGACCATGCTGGTTTGAATGGACTGGGTAGCAAGCAGACCTGAATGCAGGCTAGCTTGGTCTACCCAGGTTGCTGAGAGGCTGGCTGGAAAGTAGTTAGATTTTTTTTTGGGGGGGGGTTACTTTAAGACTAATAGTATACCTGCCTGCATGCTTCTTTCAACAAAATGGCAATGTGTATTCAGCCTGTGCACTAGTAATCTTGAAGAGCCAGTAAATATTAGTGCTTCTGACTCTTCAAAACAAAGTTGCTCCTGGTAAGTGCTTAGGTCCCTGTTCTCACCACATAAAGATACTGGGGCATTTTGCCTACAGGTAAGTGGGAGCTTCTCTTGAATTTGTGGCTTGGCAGTAACATTTTGGTATGGATGCTGTTAGAGGTTAAGCAGGTCGCTGGCCATATCCCAGGGTAAGAACATAAGAAGAGCCCTGCTGGATCAGACCAGTATTCCATCTAGTCCAGCATTCTGTCTCACACAGTGGCCTCAACCAGTTCCTCTGGAGGGCCAACGACAGGGCATAGAGGCCAAGGCTTTTTCCTGATCTTGCCTCCTGGCTCTGGGGCTCAGGATTAGTGCCTCTGAATGTGGGGGTTCCCATTTATTAGTTGCCATTTATAGACCTATCCTCCATGAATCTATCTAATTCTCTTTTAAAGCCTCTTTTATTCCTGTGGCCATCATTATATCCTCTGGCAGCGAATTCCACATTTTAATCACTCTCTGTGTAAAGTAGTATTTCCTTTTGTCTGTCCTGAACCTACTGCCCATCAGCTTCACTGGATGCCCTTGGTTTCTAGGATTTTGGGAGAGGGAGAAAATATCTCCTTATCAACTCTCTCCACCCCAACTCTATCATGTCCCCCCCCCTTAGTTGTCTCTTTTCTAAACTGAAAAGATAATTGATCTTTCATCAAGAGGTTATTAGCCATTTTTTATCTGCTTAAAACCAAAGGTAAGATTACATTTCAACAACAGGATATTTTTCATGATGGAGAGGTACCAGCTGCAAATTTAGCCTCTAGCTAAAAAAAAAAGTCCCCACCGAACCCCAGATATCCACAGATAGATTCTGCATCATAGCCTATGGGGCTTATTGACTATAATGATCCCTGTAGGCTACAATGGAGCCAGAAATAAAAAAGATATATATATATTTTGCATACCCTCTTTATGCTTTTCAGTACAATTTGTAAGCTGCCTTGAGTCACAGGGGAGAGTGGGATATAGATATTTGAATAAATAAGTAGTTTGGGCAGGTTGATAACATTAAGAAACTTCCTGTTTGTTAAGGTAGGCAGGCTTCTGACAGTGATTGTTCTTCCTCTGTTATACTTCCCCTGTAATGCTGCTTGTCACATTTCAGTAAAAAAAAGACAAAGTAGACTGCAAGAGTCCCCCCCCCCCAAGTGCTGGTATGTTTTCTAAGGCTCAGCACAAGGTGACAATCCGAGGCCAGGTCTACCAATATAGTGGCCAGGGGAGGGTACACCTGTTCTCCAGAGGCCAGGTCTACCAATATAGTGAAAAGGGGAGGGTGAAATTTGACTTGATTCTGTTTTCTCTTATAATGTTTAAATTATTCTTAAAATATAGTTTAGATATAATTTAAAAGAATTCTGAGATTTTCACAAGGTGATGGAAGTACTCTTCTAAAAAACCAGTTTCCGTGATAGTCAAATATAGACTCGTTCACAAGTTTAATACTACTGGCTTTTTTTGCTCATGAGCAGTGTTCCCTCTAAGAGCCAGTTTGGTGTAGTGGTTAAGTGCGCGGACTCCAATCTGGGAGAACCGGGTTTGATTCCCCACTCCTCCACTTGCACCTGGCTGGATGACCTTGGGCAAGCCATAACTCTGGCACAGCTCTTCTTGAAAAAGAGCAGTCAGAGTTCTCTCAGCCCCACCTACCTCACAGGGTGTCTGTTGTGGGGAGGGGAAGGGGAAGGAGTTTGTAAGCCACTCTGAGACACCTTTGGGTAGTGAAGGGTGGGGTATAAATCCAATCTCTTCTTCTTCTTCTAAGATGAGTGAGTGTGAGCTAGCTCACCGTTTTTTAGCCTCCAGCTCACAGATTATTGTCTCAGCTCAGGAAGGATGGCTCCAGAGCAAACTTATTTATGCACTAGCTGAATCGCTCGCTCACAACTTTAATGCCAGCAGCTCACAAAGTAGAATTTTTACTCACAAGACTCTGCAGCTTAGAGGGAGCATTGCTCATGAGGCAGAATTTCTGCTCACAACACTGTGGAGCTTAGAGGGAACATTGCTTTGGGGGTAGGAGTGGTTGATTACCAGTGCCCCATGAACATTTGCAGACTTCTCAAACTGTTGGAACATGATTGTGGGTTGTGTGGGCCTTGGCATGAAACAAGATCTTTATCTTTGTAATGTATCCTGCATTTGGAGGGTTGCTAAAAGTTTGCTTAATTTGGTCTATAAAGTGTTCCCAACTTCCCACAGTAAACTTCCAGAATGATAAACATCGCTGGTCTCATTAAGGTCTTTGCAAGTGGAGCACTTGTGCAAGCCAGTTGGTCTACAACCTTCACCCCTGACTCTGTTTGTTTTTGATCTAGAGTCTCTTAACCAAGACGGCTTTCCCTTCACCGGTGGGGAAGTTCCCCGCCAAAGGGATGAGAAACTTGTGGTTAACTTCTTGTGCTGAGCGAGAGGAACCTGTCCCAGCCTCATTGGTTAACATCAACCCGTTTACACCAGAATCATATCGGCAGATGGTCTTCCATCCCAACAGCAAGAGGAAAGCCAGAGGGGAGCTGTGAGTGCTTTGTTAAAATAGTCTTTAAAATTATTCCTGCAAATGCAGGATTTTGTTAATAGGCTTTCATAATCCAGTGGCGTTTGAACACGTGTATTCTGGGGAACCCTGGAACTGCACAGCGGTCTTGCTGGCCTTAGTGAGGTGGTCAGTGATATGGGACCTGGTACTTTTAAGAAGAGTGGGATGCTGTTACTGATCAGGGCTATTTTTGGGCAGGAACGCACAGGAACGGAGTTCCAGCTGGCTCCCAAGTTGGCCATGCCCAGCAGGAACTCATTAGCATAATAGGCCACTCCTAACAGCAGAAACTCATTAGGATTGGCTACATTAGCGGTGTGTGGACTAACATGCAAAGGAGTTCCTGCTACAAAAAAAGCCCTGGGTTTTGACAACAAGCAAGGTAAACAGAATAACAAGCAAAAGGTGGGTGTGGCTGGATAACCACACTTCTGGTAACATGGGGGTGCGGCCTAATGTGCTAATGAGCTGTGCTGTCAGGGGTGTGGCCTAATATGCTAATGAGTTCCTGCTGTTGGGTGTTGCCTATTATGCTAATGAGTTCCTGCTGGGCTTTTTCTACAAAAAGAGCCCTGCGTGATCTTCCTTTGCAATTCTTGCAGCCATGCATATATTCTAAGTTTCCATCTCATGTGGAGATAAGGTTGCCAGCTCCAGGTTGGGAATTCCTGGAGTTCTGGGGGGTCGAACACAGGGATGGTGTGGTTTGGGGATGACCTCAGTAAGAAATAATGCTCTGTAGCCTGCTCTCCAAAGCAGCCATTTCTTCCAGGGGAACTGACCTCTGTAGTCTGGAGATCAGTTGTAATTCTGGGAGATCTCCAGGCCCTACCTGGAGATTGGCAACTCTGTGGAGAGGATGAGAAACTAAAAGATGTAGCCCTCACCCAAACCCCATAGGAATCGAATACAAACCCGAAAACATATCTAGGAATCTTTTGCAGTAGATGATGTTTAGGAAGCTGCTGGCAGGCAAGTCCATATGGAATAGTTCCCAGAAGGTAGAAATTCACTGTTGTACTAACCCGAAGAGTTCTTTTTGCCTTCTGTTTAATAGAAAAGAGGCATTTAGCAGGTGCAGAATTAGTTAATAAAAGCTGCACTTTAACTTCTCTGTGCATCATTTATAGTTATTGGAGCACCCAGCCAAGGATTACCTCTCTCCTGTATCTTGGTCTTTCCCCCTATTCCACAGGAGAAGGGTGGGATTTATGTTCCTGTTCCTTAGTTTTGCATAATAGCAATAACTTTCCTTCTAAAACCTTTAGCTGCAAGAGTTATATCCTAAAGATATTGCAGAGGGCAAGAAATTGAATGCTTAAAGAAGTGACCCCCCCCCCATGGTGTTTTGAGGGAACCCAAGAATTTCCATGCCAAAAAAAAGAAAGAATCTTCTCGCTCTGTCCATTGTAGAGGTAAAAGGCAAAGGCATATCTCTGCAACAGAGATTTTTTTTTAAAATTAATGAGACAGGGGATCTCAAAGTATCTGGTACACACATTTTTATATTGATATCACAATATTCAATCGCTAGTTTTAAAAAACACTGACCTGGATAGCCCAATCTCCTCAGATCTTGAAAGCTAAGCTGGGTTAGCCCTGGCTAGTACTTGGATGGGAGACCACCAAGGAATACCAGGGCCACAACACAGAGGCAGGCAATAGCAACCCACTTCTCAATGTCTCTTGCCTTGAAAAACCCATAGGGTCACCATAAACCGGGGACAACTTTAAAGCTAACAATAACAACAATAACAACAATAACAACAATAACATATTTTTTAAAAAACCCTAAATGCTCCAGTGACCTGAGATGGGGAGATTGCAACCACTGGAGAACTGGGGCAAGGAAACTGGGAAAACCTGCCATGTGGAAAACCCTCTTGCCGATGCGCTATATGAGCAGTGGCAGCAGTAATGTACTTCTGACCCCTGGAGCAGTGTCTGAATAGAGGCTTCTGAAAATACAAGCACTATCCCTTCCTGCTGGGTGTATTCCTGGGTCATAACATGGCAACAGCAAGGTCTGTCAGGCCTAACTGTCCCTATGAACTGACTCTGGGCGCTAGAGAATACTCCCAGAATTCTCTGCAACACAGAAGGATTCCTTAGTAGAGAAGTGGATGCAAAAGAGGCATCTTGTTGAAAGTCTGAACATCAGTGCAGTGATGTTAACTAGCAATCTGAAGGCCTGAAAGGAAAAAAAGGGGAGGGGGTCGTGTGTTTTTCTGAGCACATCTTTAACTGTTAACATGTTTTCCCCAAGTAAACACAAATTTCAGTTCACCCAGATCAAACCAACTGTATAATTTTATTTTATTTTTATGTCAAGTCACAGCCGAATTATGGCAGCCACACAGGGTTTTCAAAGGGAAGACATGAACAGAGGCAGTTTGCCATGGCCTGCCTCTGTATAGCAACCCTTACTTATTTACTTACTAGGAATAAGGCCGGTTGTGGAAATAAATACGAGATCTAGAAAGAAGCTCTGGGAGAGTGCCCCGGCCTTGGGCACTCAGTGGTCAATTTGCTGTGGCGACCTCAGCAGGGTATGACACCAACTCCACCATTTTCTCCAGAGGAACTGATCTCTGCCACCTGAAGAACAGTTGTAATTCTGAGCGATCTCCAGCCCCCACCTGGAGATTGGCAACAATGGTTCCTCATAACGGAATGGCTGGTTTGGAGGGTGGAGTCTATGGCATTGTACCTGTCTGAGGTCCCACCCCTCTTGAAACCTCACCCTCTCCAGGCTCCATCCCTCAAATTTCCAGGAATTTCCCACTTGGAGTTGGCAACCCTATCTCCTTCCCAGCCAATCATCAACCTACCTTTATTTCCCCCTCACTCTTGTCATCTGGACATCAGTTTTAATAGCTGAAGCCCTGATGGCTAAGTCACATTGGCTGTCATATGGGTGCCGTGTCAGCAGGATATAAGGACACAGAGTCCACCATTTTCTCCAGGGGAACTGATCTCTGCCATCTGGAAAGCAGTTGTAATTCTGAGTGATCTTCAGCCCTCACCTGGAGATTGGCAACAACGGTTTCTCCCAACAGGCATTAAGGGTACCTCAGAACACATTTTACCTCAGAACAACAACAGAAAACTGTTTAGAATGTTAGAGGCAAAGGCCTCTAACAACCTCTGTACTCTGAGGCAAAGGCCAATCAGGCCACATATGCAAATAACCTCTGTGTTCTGACTGGCTATGGGGGGAGAGGAACAGCAAACTGTTTAGAATGTTGGAGGCAAGACTCAGGCAATGCAGCCAGTGGATAGGGACAGCTTCTGAGTGACAGATCACGGAGCCAAAGGCTGTTTGCGCCGTGTGGAATGTTCAGCGTGCCACCACCAACAGAGAATTATTATATAGAGAGATTCTTTATTTATATCTCATTTTCTCCCTTATCAGGGACTTACAGTGACTTTTCGCATTGTTCCCTCCTCCTCTACTTAATCCTCACAATGACAACCCTGTGAGAGTAGGCTGGGCTCAGAGATTGTGACAGGCCCAAGCACACCTGGCAGTAGGGTTGCCAGCCATCAGGTGGGGCTTGGAGATCTCCCGCTTTTACCACTGATCCCCAGCTGACAGAGATCAGCTCCCCTGGAGAAAATGGCTGCTTTGAAGGGTGGACTCTATGGCATTGTACCAGGCTGAGGCTCCTCCCCTCCCCTCCCCAAACCCCACCCTCTCCTGGATCCACTCCCGAAGTCTCCAGGTGTTTTCCAAGCCTGACCTGGCAACCCTACCTGGAAGGCTTTCATGGTTGAGAAAGGGATTCAGACTCGGTCGTCCCTCATCCTGGTCTGATGCTCTCTGACCACTATGCCAAACCAGCCCAGGTAGTCTCCCATCTAAGTACTAACTAGGGCCAGCCCTGCTTAGCTTCCAAGATCTGACAAGATTGGGCTAGCCTGTTTACTTTTTAAAAAAACAACACCAGTGTCTATGCTGAAGTGCAATCGAGAAGCTATTTTTCCAGTGGCTGGACTTTCTGCACACACAGGAGAAAAGAGGCTCTGTACACATCAGTCCGTAAAACCCCCGTTCCATGCCAGTTTAGGAGCCTTAGATTTCATGTGTCGAAACGTTGCATTACGGCTTTCCTAAAGGAAGAACTTGTGAATGGATTTGAGAAAAATAATGTCTCTAGACTACAATATGGCTTTCAAAATTCAGGGTGGCAGGCTCCGTGGTCTTGGAATGAATTTTCTTGTGTTCTGCATACTCTTGGATGTACGCCATAAATACTTCATGAGGCGTGAGCGCTTCCTGAAGTTGGTGTTTAAAAATTTAAAAGGTGAAACTGAAGTCGGGGGACCGACCGCTCTGAGATGTGATTTTGGGTGATTAAATGTATTGCTTTTAGGGAGGATCCCGGCCAAAGAGGGAGCCGAGTGGAGCAGGGGGTGCCAGTCAAGGTAAGAGTACTGAAGCCAGGAGAAAATGTGCAAAACCAGAATGTGGTGCCAAGGCCTCTCACCTCACCAGTGGCTTCCCAGTAATATGGAGCCCTTTCTGTTTAGGGGCTTTACATACATATGCAGTATGGAGCAGCTGCTTTTTGTCCCCCAGTGGGGAAAGGGTGAGGTATAAATGAAGTAAATACATAAATACGACACCCTTATTAGGCAGGCTGGTATGGCTTATTTAAAATATTTATGTCCTACTTGTCTCCTCAGACTCAAGGCAGCTAACAAAACAGTGAAAACGGAAAGGACACAAAAAGCATCAGTGTCTGGCAACAAGTGAAAATCAATACACAATTAAAACAGTTAACAGCCAGCACTCACAGTTTACCTTCCAGCAAATGCCCTCTGGAACAAGACAGTCTTAGACACTTTCCTGAACGTGGCAGGTGAAGGTGCCCCCCCCCCAGGACCACTCAGGGAGGCCATTCCAGAGGAATGAACCTATCACAGATCATAAAGCCTGTGACCTAATTGACACTCCTAAGTGGCCACCTGGAGGAGGCTATCTGAGGAGTGTAACTTATGCCGGGAAGTATAGCTGGAAGATGTGAAGGTGTTTAAAAGTGCCCTTGTAGCAGGTAGGGCCCATGAAGGTCTTGGCATAGGGTTGCCAACCTCCAGGTGGGGCCTGGAGATCTCTCAGAATTATAGTTGATCTCCAAATGACTGAATTCCATTCCCCTGGAGAAAATGGCTGGCTTGGAGGGTGGACTCTATGGCATTGTACCATGCTGAGGCCCCTCCCCTCCCCAAACCCCACCCTCTACCGGATCCACCCCCAAAGTCTCCAGGTATTTTCCACCCAAACCTGGCAACCAGTGTTCCCTCTAAGCTGAGTTCGTGTGAGCGAGCTCACAGTTTTTTAGCCTCCGGCTCACAGATTTTTGCCTTAGCTCAAGGATGGCTCCAGAGCAAAGTAATGTATGCAGTAGCCAAATCGCTCGCTCAATACTTGAATGCCAGGAGCTCACAAAGCAGAATTTTTGCTCACAAGACTCCACAGAGGCCTCTGGTTCAAAGCTCTTACACAGACTTGGGTAAGGAGCCCCAAAGCCATTAGGGGGGAAATAGTATACTTTCCGAGACCATAATTATAGCTTGAAGAATGTTGAGTGGGAAGGGAAGGGTGAAGGTGGGCCCTCACTGAGTAGTACAGTTGCCAACCTCCGGGCAGGGCCTGGCAATATGCCAGAATTACAACTCCTCTCCAAACAACAGAGCTCAGTTCTGGAGAAAATGGCAGCTCTGGGGTGTGGATGCTGTGGCATTATACCTCTCTCGGGTCCCACCCCTCTGCAAACCCCACCCTCCCTAGTAGGGTTACCAACCTCCAGGTGGTGGCTGGAGATCTCCAACCATTACAACTGAGCTCCAGGAGACAGAGACCAGTTCACCTGGAGAACATGGCCACTTTGGAAGGTGGACTCTATGCCCCAAACCCGGGCTCCACCCCCCCCAAACTTCCAGGTATTTTGAATCTGGAGCTGGCAAGACTACTCCCTAGGCTCCCCGGCAGATCTTCAGGAATTTCCCAGCCTGGAGGTGGCAACTTTACTGAGTGCATTGCAAGCAAATCCAAAGCCAATTTTCCCCACCTCCACCCCTATTCAGCTGCTTTAAGTAAAAAATAACAAAGTTGGGATATTCAATCCAATTTGTTTATGTAGGTCAGCCCTAAAGTGGCATGAGCCAGGGGGGGATTCTCCCCCGAATTCTACTGCAATAAGGAGACAGGTTTTTTTGCTAGTGATGTTCAAGCTGATGCTGAGAGCTGATTGGCCTGCTCTGGAGAAGCATGTGATAAGACCCTTGTGGGACTGTACCACTTCAGAGTGCCAGTGGAGGACCATATGTTTGAATGTTTCCTGCCATTTATAAAACTTGTGGTATGTGAAGAAAGAGAGTTAGAGCAAGATAAGAATGAAGCTGGGGCAGAATACTCCTCCTGAACCTGCTGGGCTTTCGAAGGATTTTTTTTTTTAATGTGGAAGGGGGACAATTCAGACAGACACATCCCAGACACTGTTTTGCTGTGGTACAATCCTAGGTGGGCCTATACAGTTTAGTATTTCCCCCTTACTAGGTGCTATTGTTCTTTGCTGCAGTTGACTGTACTTTAGTTATCTGAGGTCAAATAAGGAAAAAAAGACTCTAACTGAATGTCTACTAAAGACAAATGTTCTCTTTAAAGATTTTTGTGGGGGATAAAGCAAAGGACTTTACTGATCATTAGGCATATATCCCCTGCTGTCTGTCCGTGTGTTCTGGTTGATGATTTGCCTCCACCTCCATGAATCCGAGCACGATCAGTAGTGCTAACGAAATGGGTTTTTGATCTTCAGTAGCAACTTTTAAGGAAATGAAACGGCATCGCCCTCTTCTGGTGGGAAACAAAACTGATACCGAAGTGTGACTTGTATAGGGTACCGCTTTCATGCAAGAACTAGCTAGTAGCTGCAGGAAACAATATGGCATGAGAGAGGCCAGTGTAGGCGCGTGGGGGGGGGGGGGGCAGCAGGACCATTTGACCTGGGCCTCACATTCTCGGGGCCCCCTCAAATTTACACTTTTGATGTTGAATCACATGTTAAATAAAAATGGGAACATTTATTACAAAGTCTTACAATGTTCTTTTTTTCTTATTGTATTAAATGTAAACAGTTGAAATGTAATACTACTAATTTTGTATCATTGTTTTTTGCATGTCTTCGTTTTTTAATTTACTGGAGGGGGCCCTCAAAAATGGAAGTGGCCTGGGCCTCTCTTGACCTTTGTAGGTGGCATACATGTAGGGTTGCCAAGTGTAAAGAACGTACTGGTGGAGGAGCCTTGCTGGGCTCCAGGAGCCATCCCGGCATGTGTGCGCACGCCACCAGCACGTCACAAGTGACGTGCGACATCGATCATGTTGAGGGCGTGGCCCTGATCGTCGGAGGGAAAACCATAGAGTTTTCCCTCCGACGATCGGGGCCACGCCCTCAACATGACCGATGTCGCCAATTCCGCAGCGGTGGAAATTGGGCCTCCAAAGTGGGGGTTTACCCGCCCCCCGCCCCCACTTGGCAGTACTACATATGTTCCCAAACCAACTTTCTGTCCCTCATGGAAATGAATATAACCTCGAGTTGGTTTGGGTGCCTAGTGTGGCTCTTTACTTAATAAGTTTGGATTCTGCTGTGACAGTGAGCATCTGAAATTGCGTGTCAAGCCAGACAACATTTGGGATCATATCTTGAGAGCATTTTGCTGTTTTTGAATAATGGCTCTTCCCCTATTCAGATCAGGCCATTTTCCAGATCTCCCCTGTACACAGTTGCTGTTGGTTATTTTGTAGGAAAACATCAACTGCCTGTATGTTCGTCCCCAAGTATCAGTTACTGAGGCCCAATTTGAATTATAGAAGGGGGGGGGGGGGGGGGGGGAGGGTTAAATCCCACCTCCCATTATAATGTGGGCCTGATCTAAACCGGATGGGGAAGCAAGAAAAGATATCCCAAGCAGATGCTGTGCTGCTGAGACACAACCCATCCCCTAAAAACAAAGCTGATGTGGCTTTTGTTTGTGTGCCTGTCAAAATAACAAGTCTTAACTATGCAGGACCTTGTATTCAGGGTTTGTCATCTGAGGCCTCTCCAAGTTCTTCTCCATCCTTAGTCCACAGTCTGTTCTCCAGCTTGTGTGGGTTTTTCTCACCTGCTCTCTAGAGGTTTCTCTTGCGTGACAACAACATGGTGTCCCGCTACAAGAAGGAGTTCCTGGAGCTGGAAAAAATTGGTGTGGGGGAGTTTGGCTCTGTATACAAGTGCATCAAAAGGTTGGACGGATGCGTCTACGCTATCAAGCGCTCGAAGAGACCTCTTGCTGGATCCTCGGATGAGTAAGTGAACAGTCGAGAAAGAAATTGCACCTTTATGTAATGACAAAAATATTGTGCTGGTGGAAGTGGTAGCTATTCGGGATACGTTCTAGTGACCTGAGGCTTTTTCAGACCCATGCAGAAGTTCAGATGTGTAATCTGGCCCTTATGATGCGGGAGAGGAGGGGAGTTAACACTTCTAATTCCCACTGTTCCACATTACTGATAGTTTGACCCTATTATGCTGTCTAGCTAGTTATTTATCAGCTTAGTGGAATTTTATTCCACACTTCCTCCAAGGAGCTCAGGGCAGTGGCTAATTGGTCCTCCAGTGTCACCCAGCAACATTCACGTCAGAGTGCCGTTTGAACCTGGATCTCCCATCACCTAGTCTAGCACTCTAAACACTACATCAGCTATATGTCGGTCAGTCAGTCCCTTTACTGGCATAAGTTAAAATCAAACATAACCAGTATTTAAACGTACAATCAAAATCAATCATCTCTCCAGAACTTTAATCTTATATTCCAGTGGTGGCGAACCTATGGCACGGGTGCCAGAGGTGGCACTCAGAGCCCTCTCTGAGGGCACACGTGCCATCGCCCCAGCCAGGCCCAGACCATCATTAAAGTGTCGAATTCTCTGCCAAATAATGTTAAGTAAATAAAAGCATTTGGGATTGCTTTCCTTCCTTTGTTTGGATCATCTTAAGTTAATGTATGAGTTGTTTTTCCTAAAGTAAAACCTCAGTATTCAGGTTAAATTGCCGTTGGCACTTTGCGATAAATAAGTGGGTTTTGGCTCGCAGTTTGGGCACTCGGTCTCTAAAAGGTTCGCCATCACTGTTATATTCCCTGATCCTCACAGCAATCAGAAGAAACCTCTCTACAGAGTGGGTAATATGGGAACACTGATCTGATAAGGAGAAGGGAAACAAGCCTTACTTCTGGGAGGCTAGACCTGTTATGCAAAACAGGGCTAATTAAGAGATCCTGTATTTTGACATAAAATGCACATTGAAGCAAGCTATATGTAGACGAAGGATATGTTGAGGTTGGTGCTGGGAAGTATAATGTGAAAGGAAAACATATTTGTAAGCCATCATAGCAACCCAGTATCATTGCCCCACCTTCTCCCATATGTCCCTGCCCAGGGATTAAGATCACAGGGAGAGGCCCTCCTGGCTGTCCCATCAGTCAAAGAAGTTTGGTGAGTACATGAGAGAAGGTCTTTTTGGTGGCAGCCCCACGGTTATGGAACAACCTCCCCAGGGAGTTCTGCCTGGCCCCACCCCCACCTTCAATCTTTAGGAGGCAGTTAAAGATGGTTTTTTATTTAGGACTGCATCTGGTTTAGTTTATTAGCAGACCTGAGTTTTACTTCTAGGTTTTGGTTTTTATGTTCATCTGTCTTTTCAAGCAGCCCCACATTGGGACTGTGCCTGCACAAGCCGGCTGTGGACATTTTCTTTCTAGCTTAAGAACTCCACAGAGGGGGCAACCAATGTTCCCTCTAAGCTGTGGAGTCTTGTGAGCAAAAATTCTACTGTGTGAGCTACTGGCATTAAAGTTGTGAGCGAGTGATTTGGCTGCTGCATAAATTAGTATGCTCTGGAGCCCTCCTTCCTGAGCTAAGACAAAAATGTGTGAGCTGGAGGCTAAAAAAACCTGAGCTAGCTCACACTAACTCAGCTTAGAGGGAACACTGGGGGCAACCCACCCGTTTCGGAGCCAGCACGTGGACGGGATTCCCTGCCCAACAACATGTCACATACTCTGATGACGGGCACTCCCTTCCCTCAGTTCCATTTTTGCCGCCATGAGGACAAGAAGCTTTCTAGTGTGCTCCATTGATGTTTGTTGTCGTTATAGACAAAATAGACTCCTCTTTCTCCTTCGAAGAATTGTTTTTCATGCCTTTGAGAGTCTATCTGGTAGAAGGCAGTCCCAGTTGTAGATGAGCTCTCCCGTTCCAAATGTGGAATGAAAATGACACACAGCGATGAGCATGAGCTTTGCCTCTTGTGCTTAATGTTGGAGCTTGCCCAGTTTGCCAGCACTTTACCCCAAAGGCTCAGTTGGATAGGGCCTCTAGACTGAAAGATGAGCTATGGGAGAAGGGTTTGGCCTCCTCGGCTCTGCCCAGAGTGATTCCAAGTTCAGGTCCGACTGTCTTGGGTCTGCTTCCCCCGACCTTAACTACTGAAACCCGTTGTGGGCCCCCATCGGTCCATACGGATCCTGTGGGTCCGACTATCAGGATGCCTTCGATCCCTCCAAAGAGGGCCACTTTGGTTGCCCCAGAGGCAGAATCTAGGTACTGGTGTTCGCCCTCTCCAGAACTTTAGGCTAAGGCCTGACTGCATTCGGAACCTCCTGTGAAGAACCATAAGAAATCAAATTATCAGGAGAAAATCGAGCCTGTGTCCAGGTCAGTATGGCTTATTAAGCCTTCTAAGGGTCCAGAAGCAGACCAAGATGTCATCCTGGTTCCCCCATGGACCCGGTCACCTCATCTAGCCTCCTTCACTGCTTCTTTTATGGATGCAAATGACGACTGACCTAGCATCCGTGCGGGACAACTGGTTCCATTGGAATCTGGACCTCCCTTATCTTGGCAACCAGTGGGCCCTCCCCAGCATGCTTACTATATGTAGCCATCCTACTTGAATAAATGGTCTGGGCATCACCTTCAGATTCTGGAGGAGTGTGACCCGAATGCAACGGGTTACATGGAGGCCTGCTCCACACAGGTTCCGTTCTGATCCTCATACCATGCACCAGAGGAAGAGGTCTCTGTAGCACCTTGTTATAACTCCAAGAGTGCTTCAGATCCGTCACCCGATGATACTGTGCGGGATCCAACTCCAGTATCCCCTAGCAAAGACCTTTGGCTCTATAGAGAACAGATGGTGAGAATGGTGCAAGCCCTTGATACTGATGTCTCCACTTCAGGCAACGGTCTGAAAGACAGGATTCTGAGTAGACTCCAGGAATAGTGGCTCTTCCAATCTTAGAGGGGCCTATCTGACCTCACAGTTCCAATCTGGCAGAAACCAGCCTCAATCCAGGCTACACCTCGTAAGATCAAGAATGTGTAAAACAGGACTCATGTGAGTTTTTGTCCATATACCCACCACCATCCTCTTTGGTCACAGAGGACTTGCAGGCATGCCAATGATTCAGCCAGCATTAATCCCCAGTCGACAGAGAAAGCCACTGTCTGGACACGTTGGGGAGGAAATTTTATGTGTCATCTGGTGTAGCTTGGTGTAGTGGTTAAGTGCATGGACTCTAATCTGGGAGAACTGGGTTTGATTCCCCACTCCTCCACTTGCAGCTGCTGAATGACCTTGGGCAAGCCATAGTTCTGTCAGAGCTGTCCTTGAAAAGGTAGTTCTTGAAAAAGCTCTCTCAGCCCCATCAACCTCATAGGGTGTCTGTTGTGGGGAGGGGAAGGGGAAGGAGTTTGTAAACCACTCTGAGACTCAGAGTGAAGGGTGGGGCATAAATCCAATCTCCTCCTCTTCCTCTTCATTTCCAAGTTGTAAATTATCAAGTAATTGTGGGAGGCTACCAACTTTTCCTTTCGGAGAGCCTTTCCCAGTACTTAGACAAATTGCCCAATGAATCCAAGTCCCTGGCTAAATTTATTCCATATGAAGCAATTAATTCCTTATCGGGTTGGGGTGCCCATTGTGAGGGTTTTTCATTACAGGGCAGGTAGCCTTTGATGCAAAGTACCCCCATAATAATGTCCTGGAGCTTCATGCGGTGAGACTTGCCCTTATTTCATTTTCAGATATTCTCAAAAACAAGAGGGTGCTGATTCAAATGGACAACACCGCAACAGTATACTGCTTCAAAAAACAAGGAGGCATGGGTTCCAGGAGGCTTTGCTTAGAAGCAATAGCAGCATGGGAGATCTATGGATATTGGGTCCCTGCCCAAGGCCATGCATATAGTGGGGTCTTTAAATACAGAACCAGACAACCTAGTCAGGGTCTATCAGACCAATTACGAATGGTCTATCCAGGAGAAATATACCAAGATGATTTCGATACCTGGGGGTCTCCTCGGGTGGACTTGTTTGCCACAGCTGAGTCCAGGAAAGCACCAGAGTTCTGCTCCCTGGCAGGCAGCAATCCAAGTTCACTGGAGGATGCATTCTAGTTCCCTTGGTCAGGAGCACTCTTCTGTGCATTCCCTCCCTTCCCTCTTCTGAACAAGGTTATAGGAAAAATACAAGCCAATTGGATGGATCATATCCTAGCAGCTCCCTTCTGGCCCCACCAGATCTGGTTCTGAGAGCTGCTACGCCTAACGGGCAGGACTACATACCATTTCCCCCAGCCCCAGATCTGTTGATGCATGGTCCCTTACTGCAGTGCGATGTGGCAAGGCTACACTGATGGCATGGAAGATCCAGCCATAGGAAGCTCCTTCTCCCAAAGGGTACAAGTTATCTTGCTTCAGGCCTGTAAACCCTCAACTCGGTATTCCTATGGCAGGAAGTGGACTCAATTTGAGTCCTGGTCCCGGACGTCCACTAGAGGGGAATGCCCTTTTACCTGCTCATTGTCGTCTGTTTTGGAATACCTGCTCTTGCTAGCACAGGATGGTTTGGCAGTGTCTTCAGTTAAAACCACCTGGTGGCTATTGCTGTGTTTCATGAGGATGTGCAAGGGACTACTGTGTTTTCTCACAGATTAGCTCAGCACCTACACCCCATATTGTCCCACAGTGGTCATTGTGTTAGCTAAACTGATTAATCCTCCTCTTGGACCTATGGCCTCTACTCCTTAGCATTACTCTTGAGGAAGGTAGTGGTTTTAGTGGCAATTACCTCATCCAGAAGGGTCAGTGAAGTGGCAGCACCTAAAGTAGATCTGCCTTGTCTTAAGGTATTCAGTGGGTGGGTTGTTTTACACCCGAGTCTAGACCTCCTGCCCAAAGTAGTTTCCAAATTCCATCTAGCACAAGAAGTGGTCCTACCAGTATTTTTCCCTACCCTGAGCTCAGGGACGGATGTTAGGAGGGCCCTCCTTTACTGTTTAGAAAGAACCAAACTGTTTCATAAGGACAAAGCATTATTTATTTATTACTGGGGTCCCAAGAAGGGAAAGGCTGCTTCAGCCCAGTCTGTGTCCAGATGGGTGGCGGAGGCCACACGTTCCTGCTCTGTGGGGCGTCTGGGGAGCAGCATCCTCTTGACGTGAAAACACACTCCACCTGAGCGCAGGGATCGTCTGGCTCATTTCCTCAACGAGTTCCCCTTCTGGACATCTGCAGGGCAGCAATTTGGTTGACAGAGGAGACATTCGTGAAGCTTTATGCTTTAGATCTTCAGGCGAGAAAAGAGGCAGATGTGGGCAAGGCTATTCTGCAAGCGCTGTTCCAGTGAGAGACTCACCCCCCTTCCTCTGGTGAGTAGCTCGCTAATGGTCCCAATGTGGGGCTGCATGAGAAGAGGGATGATGAAAACAGAGTTGCACTTACCTGTAACTGTTGTTCATCGACAACTTCTGTGCAGACACACATCCCCTCCCCCCGCCCCATTGTGAGCTCTCACAGGGCCTGTGGTGCCATGAAAGGGGGGCTTGTGGCAGCTTAGCAGAAACTGTGAAGGAAGGGGGAGCCCTCTGTCAGAGCATGTGACGCATTGGGTGGGAAATCCCATGTATTCACTGGCTCTGAAAGGGGTAGGGCACTCCCTCTTTAGAGTTTTTAAGCTAGAAAAAAATGTCTACAGCCAGCCTGTAGAGACGCAGTCCCATTGTGTGTCTGCAGATCAGACGTCAATTAACAAAAGTTACAGGTAAGTGCAACTCTGTTTTTTTTTTAATGTGTTACGCGTTTTATCTTTGCTGTAAGCTGCCTTGAGTTCTGTTTTTTAAAAAGTGGCTAATAAATTGTTTACGTAAAATATTGCCCTTCCTCTTGGGTCTCAAAGCTGGCCTTTCTGTACCTCCTGCTTGATGATCTAGAACCGAAATTACGTGTTTCTTAACATCATAATTACAACAGCGGTCTTCTTCTTTCTGTCGGTCTCCAGGCAAATGGCTTTGCGGGAAGTCTATGCCCATGCAGTGCTTGGTCATCACCCCCACGTGGTACGCTACTATTCTGCTTGGGCAGAAGATGATCACATGATCATTCAGAATGAACACTGCAATGGTGAGAAGTTGGTCCCAAAGAGCTTTGCTCCTCAGTAACTGAAGCTTTAAGTCTACGCAAAGTTTTTGATTCCCTCATGTGCATTTGTTGCCTATACATGCGTATGTTGCCCGCCAGGAGCATGACATTCCTGAAGACCAGGTTTACTCACCATTCTGTTGCTTACTACTAGTCTAAATCTCTTCATGCCATAACTAATGGGAACAAAAATAGGCATGAGGTTGAGGTCTTGGCCATGTTTGAATCGCCACACTTCAGGCCAGTTGCTCAGGTTCTCACAGGAGTTTGTGCGATGTCTATGGGCAGGGATCATTCAAGTATTCTCAGAGGTTTCACACATCAATTTTCTTGTCATTGGAGGTGCATTTTTTTAAAGCTCCCCTGAGCTTTCAAGGTGATCTGGGTGTTGGCCATAAATGGAGCCACTGAATGGTGGTGCCATATATCTGGAACATCTTCCACAGAGATGTTATCATGTAGGCACCAGGGCAAGACTACCTTCCCTTGCCCTTGGTATGAATTCTGTTCAGAAACCTGGTTTTGCTTGATTTTGCTGACTCAGACACTCTTCCAGTATACTATTCCTGGCTGCTGTTGGATCACTTTAATGTTCAAGTGGTTAGAACACAAATAATTACGGGAAACCAGAGTGTTGATATTTTAAATAAAATAAAATGACTTGCACCCCATGTAGCAGCTCACACTTCCCTACAAAAATCCCTACACAAGTGACTTCCACATGGGAAATTTTAACAGAACGGTCCAGAGTCCATAATGTAAACGTACATTGAGTAGCAAGCACACTGGAAAGCTTAATGGCCTCTTCCCTCCACAGGGTTGCCAGGTCCTACCTGGCCAGCAGAAAGGGGGCTCCTGGGTCCTCTCCAGGATGTTCTATTCATGTGTACGGCACAATGACGTCACCCAGAAGTGATGTTATCATCTCACTGATGACAAGGGTGACCCTCTAGTTTTTGGGCAAAACCTTTTTTTTTTGCCTTCAAAACCATAGAGTTTGCCCAAAAACTAGACCATCAACCCACCCGACAGCGGGTAACATCATCGCGTTGGGTGACATCATCTGAGTGATGTCATCGCATCAGGGATGTTGCACAGTGACATCCCTCTTTGGGGGTGGGACTTCTCCTGCCAGGCAACTGGTCGGCGGTGGATCCAGGCCCCTAAAAGCAGGGGCCTCCAGTAGGTCCCCCAGGCTTTCTTAGCAGACTTATTTTTCTTTATTTATGTTGTGAATAGTCTCCTTTTCTCACTTGGAGTCAAAGTGAGTTACACTGAGGGAGTCAATAGAATTGATGGATGGGACATTCAATAAACAATGCAATAGGATTAAGTTTGTGGAACCAACTAGGAATCTAAAAAGAGAACTGAAGCAAAGCATTAGTATTAAAATGACACATTAAATTATGCAAAATTCCATAGTAGGATCCTAGTTTATAGACCACAGTCCCTAATAATTTTTTCTAAGTAATTTTGTGAATCATACAGTGCAAGTCTATTGCCTGCCTGGAAATCCCCTCTTGAATAATTCAGTTTCACTTAGAGTACAGACTTAAGCATTTTATGTTTGGGGGAAATGACACAGGGAGAAACTTAACCCTGCCCACCTGTTCCAAATGGGGGCTTGCCTGCCCGCTGAAGTGAGGGAGAAGAAGATTTAGGGTGCTCCATGGGGCTCCCAGCATTGTGTATAGTAGCTATTAAGGAAGACCATCTAATGAGGGAGGAAGAAAGGAAGGGGCTGAAAAAGTATACAAGGAGCACCTTTTTCTATGTACTCTGGTCTCCCCCCCCCCCCCGGGGGGGGGCTCTGGGGATGTGCTTTTGGAAAAGGCAAAGACTGCAGATTATCTGAAGGAACCGGAGCTGAAGGAGATCCTGCTGCAGGTGTCCATGGGGCTGAAATTTATTCACGCCTCCGGCCTGGTGCACTTGGACATCAAACCCAGTAAGCATATTAATTAGTGCTCACACTCTGGTCTACGCACTATTCAGCAGTACTCCATGAATGCACTGGATACTTGGATAGATACAGAGCTGTGTTATTTTACTGCTATGAGAAAGGCAATAGTATTTATTTTATTGGATTTGAATCCTGCCCTCCCTGCGTAGCAGGCTCAGGGTGGGTTCCATCAGATACAGTAAACAATATACAAACACACTTAAATCATGGAGTTTTTTCTTCTAGGGCAATGCAGTCCTCCTGGTATAGCGTTTTGAAGACTTCCCATTGAAGACCTCCCATTGAATGTGCATTAAAGCTGCATAACAGATTTGGGGACAGTCTCTCTGCTTCATTCTTGTTCTCCCCTCCTCTGGGGAACTCAGTGTATCATATATCGTTCTCCTCTGTTTTATCTTCAGCGGTCTCGTGAAGAGGCCGGGCTGAAGGGAGAGTGACTGATTCAAGCATGCCCAGTGAACTTCACGGTTGAATTAGGATTTGAACCTGGTTCTTCTCAGTCCAGCATTCTAACAGCTACTCTGCTAAACTGAAGAATTACTGATTTAAAGAGGAAAGGACCTATTAGAAGATACCACTCAAAATCTTATTTACTTTTCTTATTTTTAAAAAATGCAGTATACAGTATAAGGCATATAATAACCAATAAGATTGGAAAAAGTTTGAGCCCAGTGGCACCTTTAAGACCAACAAAGTTTTATTCAAAACGTAAGCTTTTGTGTGCAAAGCAGGTGCCACTGGGACTCAAACCTTGTTCCACTGCTTCAGACCAACATGGCTACCCAGCTGAATTTTTCAATAAGACTGGATTACAGAATTAGGAAATGATGATGTAAAAACAAAGTGATAAAGTGATGATGCAAGATATATTTTATTCTATTTATGTATAGAAGATACTTTGTTGCCTTCAGCCTCTCACCTTTTTCATTCATTCAAGGTGTTTCCACAATGGAGAGAAAGCTGAACTCTCTTCTGTACAAGATTTAGAGTCCAGTAGCACAGTAAAAGCCAACAAGAATTCCAAGGTATGAGCTTTTGAGAGTTAGAGCGCCCTTTGTCAATCTCGTTGGTTTTTAAGGTGCTACAGGACTTGAATCATGCTCTTAAACTGCACACCAAGGCAGCTACCCACCTGAAACAATTTCCTATGTACATAACTGATAATATCTCAAACTTAACTGAGACATTTATATTCAAGACTTATGCACAAGGCTACATGCAGACATCAAGATGAATTGGAGCTTGATCCAATCGGGAAATTGAGTCACAATTCGCGTATGGGGAGGAGCATGCAAATATGGACACAAGAAGTTTAGTCACAGTTTGTTGTGACATCTGAATGCAGCCCGAGTCTTCTGCCATAAAATCATCCTGTGCTCCAGCCAAAATCCAGTTTCACTAGTATGTGTATGGAATGGAGGTATGTAGGAATTCTCTGCACAGGGTAGCATTTCCGGTGTCAGCAAAGAACACATTTACATGCATAGAGTACAATAGCTTACTGGTGTTGGCCAGCATAGATATCACAAAATTATTTCTCGTTCATTACAGGCAATATTTTTATCTGCCACAAACTGGTTGGACCTGCTGGTGAAGAAGAGAGTGACAGTGAAGAGGACGGATTTGCCTCTTCTAACGTGGTGTATAAAATTGGTGTGTATGCTCAGGTTTTCCCTATGCCTCTGAATGGCTTAGTGTAAACTTCTCAAGAGCTTGTTCCCTCAAAATGGCCCTTGAAGTGGGTATAATGATCTCTTCTTCCTCCATCTCCCCTCCCCACAAAAAATCTGCGCACCCAGGACTGGGATGCTCCAAGTAAGCATCTCTGCACATGGCACCCACTCACAGATGGTCATAAGCTGTGAGGGAAGGCTCAGCTTGACTTTCCTGTGTTCAGCTGAGGAAGGCTGACGGATGCAATCGTCAAGGATGATTACACAAGCATCTGTTGGGGAGAGTGTTTCTAGGACTCGGTTCAGCACAAATTGCTGCATGCAGAATCCCTAGAATGCAGGGAATCTTTTACCTCATGCAGTTCTTCTGCATGTACAGAGAGCACATTTGTACAGGGTGCACAATCTTGCTTCCATGTGTGGCTGTAGACTGGGGCCTGGTTTATAGAAGGTCAGGCCAACATTTAACGCAAGGGGGCTGAATAATCTGTTCTAGCCTCTAGCCTGTAGTGATGTGCAAGGGACCCATGTGATTGAAACAGAATAAGGCAGTGCTGCTGTGAATCTTCTCTGTGGTCCTTGTGTGAGGTTCAGAGCAGTAGTGGGGCACTGGATCGTCTTGTTGCACACCATTCTTGTTTTCACACACAGAGAAGATCGCTCAGTTGCTTCTCTTGCTGTGCCAAGTGTGGGAGAAAAGTAGACTTTTCCTTGAGCAACGCATGATGAGCAGACTGTGGTTAGGTGACTTTTTGAGACTCTGGATGTTATAGTTTTTGCAGGGGGAGGGCTCTTTAAATGATAATGCCTACTTCAGATGAGAAGCTTTGGGTGAATGGCAGGAGGGCTATTGTGCCTTGTGAAATCCAGCCCTAGAAGCACCACTGTGAGTCGAGTCCTAAAATAACAATAATTATTGTACGGCAGTGTGTGCAATATGGCAGTGTGTGCAATCTGAAGATTGTCTGGTAGCCAGAAGTTCTAGCTCTTTTAATGTTATGCACCACTAGGTGGCAAGCTAGACTTGTTTTTAAGGCAAGAGACATTTCAGAGGTGGTTTGCCATTGCCTGCCTCTGCATCATGCCCCTGGTATTCCTTGGAGGTTGCCCTTCCAAATACTAGCCAGGGCCGACCCTGCTTAGCTTCCGAGATCTGAGATTGGGCTAGCCTGGGCTATTCAGGTCCTACATATATTTATTAATTTCTTTTATTCCTAGCCTTTCTCCCCAGTGCGGACCCAACATGGCTTACATTGTTCTTCTTTTCTCCGCTTTCTCTTTGCAACAACCCTGTGAAAGTAAGTTAGGCGGAGTGTGACTGGCCCAAGGCCACCGTACAAGCTTCAATGGCAAAGTTGGGAGTCAAACCTGGGTCTCCTAGATCCATGAAACTATGTTGGAAAGGAAGTCAAATTCCTCTGCCAGGACTTGTGGGGGCAGTTGAGTCCCATTTCTTCTCCAAAGCACTTAGAATTGGAAATGACTGGATTATACAGCAGAGTTTCCTGTGAAGAGACCCAACTGCATTCTGGGAAACCGAGCTTTATTAAAAGCTCACTGGGGATTCTTCAGAATAAAGTTTGAGTCTAGTGGCACCTTTAAGACAAACAAAGTTTTAATCTGGGTATAAGAAGAAGAAGAAGAAGAAGTAGAGATTGGATTTATACCCCACCCTTCACTTGGAGTCTCAGAGCGGCTTACAAACTCCTTTCCCTTCCCCTCCCCACAGCAGGCACCCTGTGAGGTGGGTGGGGCTGGGAGAACTCTGACACAAACTGCTCTTTCTCAAGGACAGCTGTGCCAGAGCTTGTGACTGACCCAAGGTCACATCAGCAGGTGCAAGTGGAGGAGTGGGGAATCAAACCCGGTTCTCCCAGATTAGAGTCCGCACACTTAACCACTACACCAAACTAGTTTAGCTTTGACATCCCTTAATCTCACGGGCTACCCCTGGAATTCTTTTTACCACTCATGGAAATGGGGAATGGGCTCAAACGTTGTTCTGCTGCTTCTGATCAACCCAGCTACCCACCTGAATCTATCTTAGTGGGATTCTTCAGTTATCTGTAAGGAAACCAGCTGCTTTGAAAGAGAATTTGCTGGACTGCTAGATTTCCCATGAAATGCAAAGTTGCAGGAAAACATTGCATGTCTTTGGAGTAGGTTCTTGGTTCACGCAGGACAACGTGGATGCCCAAAAGGCAGGTCTAGACCTGCATGTGAACTGCCTAGAATATGGCTCCAGAATCTTCAGCACAGAAAGCTTCCACAGCTGAGGTACGGGGCTTTTCTCAGTGCGGCTTCTTGAAGCTTTTCTAAGAGTCACTGGCACATTTGATACATTCCATGGCTCACAGTTTTCTCTTTCTTAGGGGACCTAGGACATGTGACATCGGTAACCAGTCCTCAAGTGGAAGAGGGGGATAGCCGCTTCTTGGCCAATGAAGTCTTGCAAGAGGTACAACTGCATGCTTGGTTAGGCATGCATGTGAGGGGACATCAGTAGATCTTCCATCAGTGCCGCTTCTCAGTACAATTCATTTTTGTATGTTCGTTTTTAGTTGATTTTCTGATGTCATTCTGAACCCGTGACTTACTGATGTCAGTGGCTGCTTGCTTTGGCAGCACATGCATTAGAACTGGAACAACTTATTGCTGTCGATGGGAATTCCTCATAAATGTGCTTAAGAGTCACAGTCTTCAGTGAGAATATGTTATGAATACATCAGATGTTGTATTGGGTATGGGCAGGTGTTCAAATTTGGAGGTGGAAAATAAAGCCCTGGTTTTGAACCTGTTTGATGTGAATCTCTGGGTTCTGCTGTGACTGAGATGCAGATCACCCCAGCTGAAATCAGAGTTCCCAGCTAATAATCTCATTTCGAATCTTAAGCAAAAGTTTCATTTTAAACTTGAATATTTCCATAGCTAGCTGCAAACACTTCCAAATGCTTCTATAAAGCTGTGGAGGTTGTTCTGATGAGGGTAGTGACTACTTTAATTTAACCCTGTTCTAATTAGATGATTGTTAACTAGAACTGACTTTAGAAGACAAATGTGGAACGTCTGAAATTTTTAGGAAGCCCTTTCCCCACTTGGGATTGCTTCTGACAGCTGATGAGGGGCAGTTGTGCAGTGAACAGTATAAGACATCTTCAAGCAGCAGCTGGATGAATGGTTGTCAGGGATGCTTTAGGCTGATCTGCATTGAACAGGGGGTTGGAATAGATGGCCTCTGTGGCCCCCTTCCAACCCTATGATTTACCCAAACCTATGATTTCTCACCCAAGCCATTAAAGTGGCACACAGCAAATGGCAATCACACAAGAGACAAGAATGCTCCCTTGCAGTAGAACCCCAACAACAAAAGCCCTTCCTCTCTGCATAAGGCTTTCACTTCTGATGGGGCATCTGATGCCACACCCTCTGTAGGTAGTCATGGATTAGAAGAAGAGGAGGAGGAGGAGGAGGAGGAGGAGGAGATGGGATTTATACCCCACCCCTCACTCAAGGTCTCAGAGCGGCTTACAAACTCCTTCCCCTCCCCCTCCCCACAACAGACACCCTGTGAGGTAGGTGGGGCTGAGAGAGCTCTTTCAAGAACTGCCCTTTCAAGGACAGCTCTCACAGAACTATGACTTGCCCAAGGTCATGCAGCAGCTGCAAGCGGAGGAGTGGGGAATCAAACCCAGTTCTCCCAAATTAGAGTCCTTGTACTTAACCCAACTGGTTAAGAACCACTGGGCTCTTAAGGGAAGGTGTCCAAAATTTGGAAATCTGCATATCAAAATTTGGTGTGTTTTTTTAATGTGTTACAGAGATTAAATGCATGCAAGACTTGCTTGCAGTTCTAAAATATTCCCCTGTTGTGGGAGGAGGATTTCTGAATCTAGTGTAACCCAGTTTGGTGCATAGCCAGCTTTGACTGTATCTTAAAAACACCTGGTTTTCTTTCCTGCTCTCCCCGTAGCAATACTGCCATCTGACTAAGGCAGACATCTTTGCCCTTGCGTTGACAATTGCACGAGCAGCAGGCTGTGGCCCACTGCCCCGCAACGATACCCCGTGGCACCACATCCGGAAAGGCAACCTGCCACTCATCCCGCAACAGCTTTCACGTGGCTTTACTGACCTGCTGAAGGTGAGTTTTACTGCCTGTTGGAGGGTGAGAGGAGCAGATGCATCTCATGGCTTTATTAACTGGGGATTTATTTTCTGGTTGTTGTTTTTCCCAAACCCCCCTTCCCCTCAATTTTAGCTTATGATTCATCCTGATCCAGTCACCAGGCCCTCAGCTACTGCGTTAACCAAACACCCTGTCCTGCGACCTTCTCTTGGCAAAGCTGCCCAACTTCAGAAGCAGCTAAATGTGGAGAAATCCAAAACAGCCATGCTAGAAAGGTAAGGTCTGTCTTCTAGTAGCAAAGGAGACTGACGAGGGAGGCAGCTGGCCTGGAAAAGGAGCTGACTCGGCCTAATCACAGAAGGGGGAAGCCTGAAATCTCCTCTGTAGGAGGCCAGTTGTAGAAGGTGCAATCATTTGCCTTTTGACTGGACTTTCAGACCTTTCCCCACCCCCATTCCTAGAATCCTTATCTTCACAGCCATCTGATAACAACTGTTCAACAAACGGAGGAGCCACTGAAGTTTCCCCCTGGGCACTTGCATGCTGTGGGTCTCTGCTTTAGCAGACCATGCAGTTTCAAAGTGAGGGGTCTGACATCTCCTTAATCCACTGTTGCTGCCCTGAGGCCGAAGAAGCCTGGGGATCAAAAGCAAGGCTGGAGAGCAAAGTCCCTGCTCCTGATAATGCCCTGAAGATTATGAACTGGCAACAGATGATCTGCTTGCTTGCTTCTACACACATTAAGCTTCTGCCACTTACCATCCCAAGGGGGAGGTGTGTGGCTAGCACGTGCATTCAGGGCTCTTTTTGTAGCAGGAACTCCTTTGCATATTAGGCGACACACCCCTAATGTAGCCAATCCTCCAAGAGCTTACAGTAGCCCCTGTAAGAAGAGCTCTGTAAGCTCTTGGAGGATTGGCTACATTAGGGGTGGGTCGCCTAATATGCAAAGGAGTTCCTGCTACTTTTGAAGCTTGAGGCAAACTGTGCTGGAAAAAGGCATGCTGATCCCTTGATCTCTCTGGTGAGGATACAGGAACCCTCCCACATTCCCTCAACCCACCTCCTTTCCCCCAGCTTGTGCTCTCAGTAGCATCTTTAGTATTTGGAAAAAGACCTTGAAGCCTAGCAAAGTTTGGGTCCAGTGGCACCTTTAAGACCTTAAGAACTGAACACCTTTAAGACCAACACGGCTACTCACCCGAATCTATCTGGCAGCCTAGCGAAGTTCTAATGGGGGGGACTGTGTGTACTGTGCACTCCTGGCTTTCTTTTCCCAGGGAGCTGAGAGCCATCCGCCTGGCGCAAACCTTCAGAAAGGACCCGTCTTTGGAATGTGACAAGGCTGGAGCTTCTGGGGCCAATTCAAAGCAACAGAGCGGCAAGAAACGACTGGTGGGAGGGAAGAGTGCCCGGTCATTCAGCTATACTTGCGGCGGCTACTGAAGAAGAAAACCGTTCCGCTGCTGAAACGTGTTCCTTAAAGCGGAGATTCTGTTCTGATGTAAGCATCGTATCATGCAGTGTGTTTGGTCACCACAGTCACAATAGGCAAGCTTCATACTGATCTCTCTGAGTAATTAGTAGGAAATCAACTGTCCATTCTGCCTCATCAGCATGGTCTCCTGAAAATGTATTTTAGGAAACTAGAAGGTTTATCCCCCCTCCCCCACTGGATTCTGAAAAAGAGCTTATTTTCTTTCTCTAGCTTTCAATGTAACCTTTTTAAAGCATCTGTTTATTTAATACTCCACACTAGGAATTATCAGTCGTTATTATGGGAAAAGGAAATGTGTGTTGGTCTGTAGGCGGCTTGTTCGTCTTGCGGTTGAGAAAGGGAGGATACAAGGGAAGAGACGATGGGGTTAGGCTACTGGACTAGTCTTTAAGACCTGCCCAAAGAGCCAAAGGAAATAAACTGGACCACAAATGTGCTTAATGTGGAAGTTCCAATGAACAAGGTCCATCTGAAACAAATGAGGTAGCCCTAATGAGCCCTAATGTCAACAGTTATTGACGTCTACACATAGCCTGATTGGGGGAAGAAGTTGTTTCCATTTGTAATTTCTCTTCCTTTTCCATCTTAATTCTAACATTGGAAAAATATTGGGCAACCTTGGCCTTGAAAGCATTTTTTGGTCCAGAGGAGAACGTCTGTTTCATTCTTGATGTGGTAGTTGGTGACTGATGTACTAATAGGGGTAGGTACTGTCTATTTGCCTGGCTCTTGGGATGTGTGAGTGCGTATGTGCTTGTGTGAGAGCACAATGAAGGCAGACAAACTCTTTTAGAACTCCTCAATTTCCTCAGGATTACATTATGTAATTGTTTATAATAAAATAAAGCAAACATGATACCCCATCTGCAGTGTAACTTCTGATATTGTCTCATGAACACCTCTTACTGCTCCATGAACTAGCCTGGTCTTAAAAGATTTTATTTTTGGAGCAGTGTCTTCAGAAATGTTTTAAGCCTCCTGAAACATGTAAGCTCCCTGTAAACATGACTGAACATGGTTTTACTTCCAGCTGCTGGACAGCACAAGGTTTTTAGTCCTGGAGGATGTTCTCCCTTTTTAAGAAGAAAGTCACACTTGTGCAAATAAAGTATTTTATGATCTTGTTTATCTGAAAGTGTTTGTGTGGGGAATTTTTTTGAGAAGCCCGTACAAGGGAGGGTTTGACTGTGGTTAGATTGGTGGTACTCATACCTAGTTGCAGGTATCGGTTTATATTGTTCCTGTCTATAGAGATAACAGCTGACTGACTCCCCCATCTGATTTGCACAAGAACCTTACCAGAGTTGATTAGTCCAATGGTTCCCAATGTTTTCAGTATGGTGACCCACATGTCCAAATTGACTTGGTATGGTGACCCATCCAGGGCTGGCCCAAGGGGTTGGGTGTTTTTTTTTTGGCATCCTAGGCGAACGATGACCTTGGCACCCATCTAGCTCAGCATTCCATTTTCTGCAGTGGCTAACCAGATGTTTTTGAGAAACCAACAAACCGCAACAGGTGTAGCTGCACCCAATATGAACCCCAAGCAAATGCTTGCTAGCTGGCAATCTTATAATCCCAAACTATGGCATCAGAACAGTACTTCAGGGACATCCTTTAAAATCTGTGGACAGATGTCCTGGACTGGAATGCAAATATGAATACAATATTATTTGTAATTACCTCTTCCCTCCTCCTTTCCTTCAGGCCCAAGTTTCACGGCTTTTCCTAGCACTTTCATTGTGCTTCTTTCAACAGAGAAAATAAAGCAGATTAAAAAAAATGAACCCCAAGCAAATGGCATTCTGAGACACTCAGCCTTTGCATATGGAAGGTTACATTCCAGCTTTTGACCATTACTCCCTCTAATTTCCCCTATGATTGTAGGCAAGTTGCTCTAGTAACCATCAGGACACTTGATCAATGTATATATGTAGTGAAGGGGGAAAATGCCAACGAATGCATGGAAGATACTATTTCCAGGGTCAGACTTTGGTGTCTGAAAAGAGCAATGGAAAGGACAGAGGTAGCCTTTAGGGAGCGCCGGCCCATGGCCACTTCTGGGTCCTGACCCACAGGTTAGCAAACAGTGGCTTAGTCAATGAGAGGAAGTGTGTCATGACTACTGTAACCCCTACCAGCTTTGCATTTAAGAAGCTGAATAGCTGACTTTATTTTCTGGGGGCATTAGTCAAATGACAGGGCCTCAACAAGAGGTGGGGTAATAGCGGGGATCTTCCTACCAATGTCTGTGGGAATCTTTCCCTTTATGAGAGCTCTTAATAACCCGTCCAAGGGTAAAAGAGATAATGTTTTATTAAAGGATATTTAGGGATTATAACACACAAGCAGCACGCATGAAATAAACACACATACAAGCACTATGGAAATAAAGAGAGGAGTGGGACGATAGTGATAACTACCTGTCCTGAAGATGTCCATGCATCAGGAGAGATGGCAAAATGACCAGTGCTTCACTGAGTGAAAAAGACTCAGTATACTGGGGGGGGGGGTGTTAATGGGTGCCCAAGGTAACAGGAACAAAGGACTGGAGTTACACTGGGCTAGTTATACCCAAAACGTACCCAGAGGGCTTGCTAATGTGAGGGCTCCCTTGGAACAAAGAATTGATGAGATTATTCAGGGCTATGATGGGATTACTCAGGGGTAAGACAATGTAGCTTTAGAACCAGTTCCCAAGACTGGACAAAGGAAGTCAGAAGTTTCTTCTATATGGAAAGTAGGCTTTGGGTTATGTTCCTGATTAATTCTCCGGGGTTTGGAGGACTAATGGATTGCTAATTTAAACTAATCAAAATAGAAACAATGATGCTCAATGAACCACCTGGCCTTGGGGGTGTGGGAAAGGTGTAAGAGGCATTACGAAGGAACTGCAGGAAGGAAAGATGAGATCAGATTGATGGGATTAGTGTTAGAAATGGAAAGACGTTACTCTGGGGCAAGGCAGGCCCATTGTCTGGAGTATGCAGATGTTGGCAGGGTGTGTGCGGGGGGGGGGTAGTTGCAGCTGTCAAGGCAAGATCTCAGGTACTTTCCAGGGTCATGTTCTAGGTATGATTATGGCCTGCCAGTCCTGGCTTCCATCTTTGTGTTCACTTATCTCAAGCTGCCTGGTGTATGGACTCCTGGGGCACCCCTATGGGGTCTTTAGATGGTTGAAATGACCCCTCCTGAAAGACAGTACTTACACTACTGCATGGTATTGTTTTGAATCTTAATGCAAATATATTAAAATAACTGTAAGGTGAGTTTAAGAGAAATCTAAGTACTTGGTTTGGTGATCATGCATGCACATGCTTTGCTTATAGACAAAACCATATTTTTAGGAAGTGCACATTGAGTTGTTAGCCGCCTTGAGCCAGTTCTGTGGCAAGGCAGGATACAAATTGAAATAATAAAATAAAAATAAGAAGAAATTGGATTTATACCCCACCCTTCACTACCCGAAGGAGACTCAGGGTGGCTTAAAATCCCTTTCCCTTCCCCTCCCAACAACAGACACCCGGTGAGGTAGGTGGGGCTGAGAGAGCTCTCTTGAGAACTGCCCTTGAGAGAATAGCTCTGAAAGAACATATGACTCAAGGTCACACCAGCAGCTGTGTGTGGAGGAATGGGGAAATCAAACCCGGTTCTCCCATATTAGAGTCCATACTCTTAACCACTACACCAAACTGGTTCTCAGTAGTGAAATATACTTTCCAAACAGTGACATTGGCCCTTTCTGCACCGACAGCTTGCTCCAGTGAATCCGAGGAGTCAAGCTTTAAAGAAATGCGTCACACGTATTCCCTCTACACTGTTTTTCTTCCCTCCAGTTTATTTATTTGTGCATTCTGTATGCATTCTGCATCTACAAGCAAAACCCACTTTTTTTTTTGAGCTAACTGGCTGTTTTGTCTAAGATAAAGAGAAAGGCAAACATCTTTCAAAACTTTTAACTGCAGATCCAACCAATGTTCCCTCTAAACTGTGGAGTCTTGTGAGCAAAACTTCTACTTTGTGAGCTATTGGCATTAAAATTGTGAGTGAGCAATTTGGCGACTGCATAGATTAGCTTGCTCTGGAGCCACCCTTCCTGAGCGAACATAAAAAGGTGTGAGCCAGAGGCTAAAAAACTGTGAGCTAGCTCACACTAACTCAGCTTAGAGGGAACAGTGGACCCAACCCCTCCCTCCCTCTGCGATTCTGTGAAAAAGAAAGGGAAGGTAGGGGGGACTCCACGCCCACACATTCAAGACTGACACATTTGAGAACAGGGAATCTCCTAGTCCTTTATATTTACTGACTCCTTATACTCTCTCTGGCTTCTTAAAAGTTTCCCTGAGCTGGAGGCCACGCTCTCTTTTGTCTTTGGAGAAGGAGGGAAAGAAAACAGAACAGGGA